CAGCAGGAGATCTTGAAGGCTTTGCGACCTACAAAGCCGGTGTCGATGGAGGAGGAAGATTGGGAAGAATTGCAACAGCGAGCGGCAGGAACCATACGATTATGCTTGGCGGACGAGGTCATGTATCACGTCATGCATCTATCGTCTCCAGACGAAATTTGGAGGAAGTTGGAAAGTCAACTTATGTCCAAATCCTTAACGACAAAACTGTATCTAAAGTCAGTTTTGTCGATGGTACAGGGTTAATTTTGTAATTATGTACCAGGGTTTTCTATTATAAATAGAGATGTAACTTAAACCTATGAGACATTGAATAAAATTTCTAGCGTCGCCTAGGCACCGATGACGTAAGCACATTGCCGAATCTCGTTAAAATTCTTGTGTTCTTTCGTTTACTTTTCCCGATTCTTCAACAAATACAATACTATTTTTCTGGAGATCTTACGTTCGAATAATTAGAATATATGTGTATTATTAGTAGATAAAAATTTCTGAAAAAATATTATCTTATAATCGTATTATTCAAAAGAAAAAGAGTGACGGGTGCAAAATATTGAAAGAGATGTTCCACTTCCCTACTTGAAAGGGAAAACTAATAGCATAAAGCGAAACCCATGGGCTATGGTTTCTAGCTGTGATTGCACCAGCAAAACATACTTTAACATGTAATGCTTTAGGTAAATTAATATTTCAAGGATACGTAATAATTATTCAAACGTTTTTTAAATTAATAATTTAATATAAACAAACATCAATGGGATGAAATGGACGTTTTAAGAAAGATGATGTCTCACCTTTGATAAAGATCACGAATTCAATATCAAATGATTAAAGTTATCTTTAAATATATATTATCTTATATTTATCTCAAATTAATAAAAATAAAATGAAAATTAAGATTTCAAGATGTTATAATCAAAGTCGGCCCTAAGTCAGGGCAGGAGAGGCTCCCGCCCAGGGCCCATAATATTTTCATAGTAATATCTAAGCTATGCATGTTAATATCACATAAATATGGGCACATTTCTTTTATTTCGCCCCAGACCAAAAAATAAAGAACATAAATAGGTGCTCATTTCTTTTATTTCGTCCCGGACCAAAAAATACCCTAGTTATAATCTTTCTACGTAGCCTTTTTTTATAACTCAAATTAGATCATTTTACTAATAATCGAGTTACAACACTATTATTGCGTTTCACCATTAGTTTGTCAAATATCATGGCAAGATATCTTAGATTCGTCCATCATGATCGACTTCTAGAAGATCTCTCGTAGCATAAATTTTATCCCCAATCTTCTTTTTCAATACACTAACATGGAAAACAGGATGAATCTTCGAGTGCTCAAATAATTCCAGTTTGTAGTCAGCTGACCTAATGCATTGTTTTATCTCGTAAGGCCCGTGGAATATTCTGACAAACAAAATGAATCTTCGAGTGCTTTGGGTATCGATACTAGCTGCATTAATTACAAAAATATAGCTGATGAATATAGTTGATGGACGAGATTGCTATAGAATACTTATTATATGATAGCAAATTTTGAGATTTTAAGATTGTACATTTGTCAGGAAACAGATGTTGCCATAGTGGGAGATTGTTGGAGTAAAATCTATATTTGTGGGCACATATGTATAATGTACAATGTTATCATAAAGTATGACACAAAATCAAGTGACCAATTATGTTACATGTGTTATATGTCAAGGTAGAATTGTGGAGTCGATGTCTTCTAATGTATTGAATAGCATTTTCCGTAAGACTAAGAAAACTTTTGATCTATGTTCATATCATGGTGATTTTTTTTGTATCGTTTAATTGGATATATAAGCTACATTGTTTAACATCTTTTCTAAGCTCTTATCGTTGTGATGTTTGCTTTATTTTCTCGAGAGAGTGTTGACATCACAATCATGTAGGTAGTTTATGTAACAACCCAAAAATCTCGAGTTAACATTTAAGAGTTGACACGAGCTGAGAACTGGTTGGTATAAGGTATATTTAGCTTGATAATTAAGGTATGTGCCTAATCAGGTGAAGATCGGGCTCAATTAGCTTGATAATTAAGGTAGTGACATCGTAGACCCATCGTTCATCATGGGTTGAATTTAGGGTATTATAGTTTAATTTAATTTCACTAATGAATCTTCTTTTCAGCACAAGAGCAAGCCTTAGGTTGTATGTCTACGTGTTAGGCTTATTATTCCTCCTCCCTTCTTTGATTTAATTGTAAAGAGACGAGATGAGTTGGGAAGAGCTAAGGGTGTTATAGTTCAAATTTTCAAGTGATTTTAAGTGAGTTTTTCTTCTCTACATTGACTCTATTTAGGGTGAGCGTTCTATTGAGTCGAGTAAAAAAATTTCGAATTATTCGAGTTGACAAGTCTTATTTTACAACTTGGACTTGATTTGAATTTTTTTCGAGTCGAGTCGAGTTTATAAAATTCTAGTTGAGTCGAGTCAATTTTTTGAGTTTATGTTTAAATTTAATTGTAAATATTTATAATATTATAATATTATTTCATTCCAACTTAAGTGACTTTCTATAGCTATATATACAATATAAATATATTTATTCATATTTTTTTCATACGTGATATACATATATCATACAAAGTCTAAGGACTCGACTCAAACTTGAAAATAAATCCACTAATTACTAAAAATTTCGAATTATTCGAGTTGCATTTTATGACTCGATTTGAACTTGAATTTTTTTCGAGTCGAGTTTATGAAATTGCAACTCGAAGTCAATTCAAGGTGAGTTTTTTGAGTCGAATCGAAAATTTTAATTTTTCGATTCAAGTCGAGTTTTGTTATCCTTAATTCTATTTAGTAACGGAACATAAAAAGGTCTAATGGGGTCATGTCTGTCCTAAAATTCTAAAATTTATAATTTAGACAAAATATAGCAGTAAAAAGACGGTGTTGGAATTGATGATGAAGTTGAAACTCTATAATGTGTTATATATTTTCTAAGAAATGGTAAGTCCACAACTTAATTTAATGGTTAAGTAGTTGAATTTTTTTAAAAGTAAATTTTCAAATACTATAATTATAATTTAATTAAATGATATCATGTGTCCTTATATATTTGGTTGTACTTAATTTAATAAAAAATAACCATATAAAATTATTTTAAAAATTAAAATTTTCTGTTGATGTGTTAATATGTCACGTCAACACCTTTGTTCATGTGACATTGTAATGTCAATTTACAATGTCATATATGTTTGTCACGTTATTTTAAGGTATTGAGTTATTTTAGGGTATTGAGTATTAGTTGAATAATAATTTTCTTCTATAAAAAGATCATTTAAACTTAAAATAAAGTAGTTAGTATTAAAATATTTTTAAAAATAAATATATAAAATGGTTATTAAGTGAATTATTATTATTATTATTATTATTATTATTATTACATTCAATAAAAAATAAGTGTTTAAATTATACCCTTTATTAACTTTAGGTGTTTAAAAAAATTTCGCTCAAAGTACCTAACGTTTTTGGTGTTACGTTTTTAGGTATCTATTTTATCAGGGTCGTTAAAAGAATTTGTTATTTGACAAGTGTCATGCTTATAAATTTTAAAAATTTTATTTCAAAATAAAAACTTAAAAATATAATTTATTTAAAAAAAAACTCAAATTCCAAATGCCTTCACTCACGTTGGCCGTCACCGATGTTGTCTTAACCGTCGCCCTTTACCGTTAGCCACTTTATCTAATCAGTTTCCAACACATGACGAGAGGAATCGTCGCCCTTTGCTAGAATCACTTAGTCTATGTAATCATCCATTTTCGTTTCAACTATCGCTTGAAGCATAATATTTTAGTCTATGTAATCAATCGATTGGTGGCGTTGGTGACCACCAACAATGATAATAGGTTGAAATTAAAAAATTTCTGAATTTTGAGTTTTTTATAATTTAAAAAATATATTTTTAAAAAATAATAATTTGAAGTATTTTTTAAAAATAATTTTTTAAAAATTTTATAATCATAATATATGTTAAATAACAGATTTCTAACATCCGTTACAACATATGCACTTAAAAGAGCAACATTACAAACTTTAAACACCTACTCCAAAAAAAAAACTTTTAAAATTTAAAATTTAATAAAAATATAATTTAAACAAGGATTTTTATTTCCCCAAGTAGTGCACCCACCAAATTATTTCCCCAAATAGGGTGACTTCTACGATGATGCAGTTTTGCAAGAGGACATGGCTGTCTTGTAAATTTTGGTGGCCCTGTGCCATAACAATAAAATATGCATTTTAAAATTAAAATATTAGATATATAAAGAAGTTCACTAATATTTTAAAATTTGGTGATCCTATACCATAACAGTAAAATAGGCCTTGGACTTGAAAATTCTTGGGCTAAATATTCTAAATACACATACATACAAAAGGCTTAAAAAAATTTGGAGGCCCTTACAAAAATTGGGTTCTGTGCGGTTGGGCAGCCCGCACAGGCCCAAAATCGGCCCTGCAAGAGGAGGGGAAATGCGTTGAAGACGTATGGTAATTTTCGAGTCTTCAACAGATCACAAGGATTACTTGGCGTCTTCACTATATACCGTAGCAAATGACCTATTGGGAAAAATAATTTGGCGGATTCACTACTTGAAAAAATAAAAATCCTTCAAACATTATTCAAGCATTTTTGCCCATAGGTCCCAGGGAATATTCCCTTACATGAAACCTTATTATTTTTCATTTTGTCATTTTATATAATATTAGAAATTGCTTACGAAGATGGGAGGTAAATGGGTCCCAGGGTCACGTGGAGAGTGGCATAATGTCCACGTAAGACCAATCAAAGACGTCGGCCCACGTGGGACTTTAGACCTAAAAACAACAAAATTTTATTATTAATTTATTATCGAATTCAAAACTTGTTCAATTCTCATTATCACCACCCTTAATATAATATTAATATTATACTCGACATTTTGGCATTCTCTTGCCTTATTATTCCTCCTCTGCCTTCCTACTCTTCTCTTTTCCCATCTACTTTTACCCTCCGTTTTCTAGTTTCTTCTTCATCTGATCTACCTATAACCCTAATCACACTTGAAGACCTTCTCTCTTTTAATACTAATATTAGTTCTGTATTATCATGGCCGACTGCTCTTCTTCTTCTTATATCCACATGGTAAGTCATAATCTATTTCTTCTTATTTTATTTCCATATTTTGGGTTAATTGTTGATCGGATCATCAAATATGGTTCTACGAATTATCAGATGCTTGGATTGATTAGTAAGGGACTATAAGAGTTCATTAAGATCGAATTTAAAACTTTCAGAAAACTAAAACGTTATGTAACACTCCTTTCCCGTATTCGGTTGTTGATCATAAGTAGGATCAACAAATATGGTTCTACAAATTATCAGATGCTTGGATTGATTAGTAAGGGACTATTAGAGTTCATTAAGATCGAATTTAAAACTTTCAGAAAACTAAAACGTTATGTAACACTCCTTTCCTGTATTCGGTTGTTGATCATAAGTAGGATCATCAAATATGGTTCTACAAATTATCAGATGCTTGGATTGATTAGTAAGGGACTATTAGAGTTCATTAAGATCGAATTTAAAACTTTCAGAAAACTAAAACGTTATGTAACACTCCTTTCCGTATTCGGTTGTTGATCATAAGTAGGATCATCAAATATGGTTCTACAAATTATCAGATGCTTGGATTGATTAGTAAGGGACTATTAGAGTTCATTAAGATCGAATTTAAAACTTTCAGAAAACTAAAACGTTATGTAACACTCCTTTCCCGTATTCGGTTGTTGATCATAAGTAGGATCATCAAATATGGTTCTACAAATTATCAGATGCTTGGATTGATTAGTAAGGGACTATTAGAGTTCATTAAGATCGAATTTAAAACTTTCAGAAAACTAAAACGTTATGTAACACTCCTTTCCTGTATTCGGTTGTTGATCATAAGTAGGATCATCAAATATGGTTCTACAAATTATCAGATGCTTGGATTGATTAGTAAGGGACTATTAGAGTTCATTAAGATCGAATTTAAAACTTTCAGAAAACTAAAACGTTATGTAACACTCCTTTCCTGTATTCGGTTGTTGATCATAAGTAGGATCATCAAATATGGTTCTACAAATTATCAGATGCTTGGATTGATTAGTAAGGGACTATTAGAGTTCATTAAGATCGAATTTAAAACTTTCAGAAAACTAAAACGTTATGTAACACTCCTTTCCCGTATTCGGTTGTTGATCATAAGTAGGATCATCAAATATGGTTCTACAAATTATCAGATGCTTGGATTGATTAGTAAGGGACTATTAGTTCATTAAGATCGAATTTAAAACTTTCAGAAAACTAAAACGTTATGTAACACTCCTTTCCTGTATTCGGTTGTTGATCATAAGTAGGATCATCAAATATGGTTCTACAAATTATCAGATGCTTGGATTGATTAGTAAGGGACTATTAGAGTTCATTAAGATCGAATTTAAAACTTTCAGAAAACTAAAACGTTATGTAACACTCCTTTCCTGTATTCGGTTGTTGATCATAAGTAGGATCATCAAATATGGTTCTACAAATTATCAGATGCTTGGATTGATTAGTAAGGGACTATTAGAGTTCATTAAGATCGAATTTAAAACTTTCAGAAAACTAAAACGTTATGTAACACTCCTTTCTCGTATTCGGTTGTTGATCATAAGTAGGATCATCAAATATGGTTCTACAAATTATCAGATGCTTGGATTGATTAGTAAGGGACTATTAGAGTTCATTAAGATCGAATTTAAAACTTTCAGAAAACTAAAACGTTATGTAACACTCCTTTCCTGTATTCGGTTGTTGATCATAAGTAGGATCATCAAATATGGTTCTACAAATTATCAGATGCTTGGATTGATTAGTAAGGGACTATTAGAGTTCATTAAGATCGAATTTAAAACTTTCAGAAAATAAAAACGTTATGTAACACTCTTTTCTCGTATCTGTTATTGAATACGAGTTCGAGATGTCATTGTAAAACATTCTTTATTCGAAAATCGGTGAAATTTTGTTTCTTTAAAATTTATCGGATTTTCGAATAAGGAATGTTTTACAAATATTATGTTACATCTCTTACTCGTATTCGGTAACCAGTGGTGGATTTACAGCTTCGTTAGGGTGGGCACTTCCTCCTGAAATCTGAATTTTCATCAATTAGTTACTTATTTTACTGATAGTGATCACCTTAAAATTTTGTGTCCACCCAGAAATATGAGTTTTCTCTGATTAGTTACTTATTTTCTGTACGGTGTCCATCCTAAAATTTTATTTGTACCAGCCCCATTTAAAAATTTTATGTTATGAACATATGTGTGCCCTAAAAAATATTTCTAGATCCGCCACTATCAATAACGGATACAAGAAAGGGGTGTTGACGTTAAAGATTTGGTGGTAGAATTTTTTGATATAAATAATATATTGATGATAGCGTGTGAATATATAAACGCAGGTGCACCGGCTCATTGAAGAGTGTTTGATATTTAAGATGAGCAAAGAAGAGTGCATGGAAGCTTTGTCTAAGCATGCAAATATAAAACCAGTTATTACTTCTACAGGTAATTATTAATTAATTCTCATAAATACATACATGCATGCATACATACATACATACATACATGCATACATACATACATACATACATACATGCATACATACACACATATATATGTGTGTGGATGAATTCGTTGTGTGTGGATGAATTCGTGGAAATTAATGAAGGGTGTTAAGTTTTGCAGTTTGGAATGAGCTGGAGAAAGAGAACAAGGAGTTCTTCGAGGCTTACACAAAAGGAAGCCATGAAGAAGCTACAAAGATACAGAAAAGACAAAGGATTCAGAGCTGTGTTAATGACAAGGACGCCGACGGATGATTATCAGCATCAGAGACAAATAATGCACAATTTTATGTATAAAATTAATGAATTTATAAAATTTTAGAATGTGAAAATATATTGTTAATAAAAAAATATAAGAATACATCAAAATTTGATCATTCAATAATTAAATCTTTAATGTGAACACGTGTTTTTAGGGTGTTTTATTTCTAAAATTGATCTAAACTTTTAACTTTTTTTTCATCCTCGTGGCCAACGTCCTTGCCCACTTTTGTTTGATCATTGTCGATCATCGTTTGTAACGTAACTTGTACTAACACTTTTTCATTTTTCTCTTCTTTTTATTCTCAATTTTATTTTCTTCGAAATTAATAAAATCAATAAAACTCAAATAAGAGTTTTGATATTATTTTGATATGATCTACAAACGACTCCGTCCAATTAGTGTAGAATTGAGATATATTATTTTTTCTCTTTCTCGGTATCTTATCTTCATTTTAAAAAAATCATAACTTACACAAAAATCATACAAACACTTATTAAATGACTATAAAAATATAAATGTGCATAATGCATGCATGTGATGCAACACATGAGTAATATATGATATTTTACATCAGAATCAAAGTAAAACTAAATGAAATGGCTTAAAATATGGTCATGATGAACACTCATGTGAATTTTTTTTACCTCAAGTAAATTTAATCTATCATCATATGCATTTAGTTATTATTTAAACGTTCTTTTAACCTTAGCACCTACCTAGGTATACCGCTTTTTTCATAGCAGAGTGACCAAAAGTATGTTTCAATTCATCGTGGATAACGTTCAAGCTGAATAATTGGACCGCTTCGCAGCTTTCTCTGACATGCCGAATCACGTTGGCCGAATCTACTCCGTTAGTTATCCCGAATTATTTCATGCACTGTGGCTATTCCTAAAGACGTGTGTGACAAAATAGATATGATTGCCCATCAGTTCATCTGGGGTGGAACGAATGATCATCCTAAGATGACCTTTGTCAAATGGGAGTGATGTTGTCAACCAACTTCCCATGGGAATATTGGATTGCACCCTCTCAATCTTCAAAACGAAACCTTTCTAATTAAGCTTTGATATAAGCTTCTGACACACCACGAAGCCCTTCATGTTCGATGTGCGGTGACCAGGAAGAAAACATCCTTCACGTCCTTCGGGACTGCTCAAACACTAGGACCACTTGGACGCAAATTTTACCGAGACAAAGAACAGGGAGATTCTTCACCCATTTCCTTTTTGATTGGCTTTATTCTAATCTAAATGATAATGCATGTACTGATGGAGGTTCCTATAGGTAAGGCATATGTTCGGTATAATGATTTGGCGGATATGGAAGCAATGCTACATTCTCATCTTCAATGGCAAAGCTGGTCGTCGGAGGCGATTATTCAAAGTGCTCGCGCTTAGGCTATATCTATCTCTGCAAGCTCGATGAATTGCGTCCAACACACCACTCGACCAAGGAGAAATCAAGTCTAGAGACCTCCTGTCCCTGGCGTGCTCTAACTTAACACCTATGGTGCTGTCAAACAATGGACCATGGGAGCAGCTAGCGGTGGAATCCTTCAGCTAGCGGTGGAATCCTGAAAACTGGAACCATACAGAAACGACATGGCGGTATACAACTCAATATATATTTATCGTAATATGGTATATTAAAAAAAATATAACAATTTATTATAATAATTTCCCAGCTAAAAAATAAATAAAAAAGATACAGAAGATTTATTAAATTAATTTCGTTTTAAAAAAGTAACTTCAAAATATTTTTATGTTAAATTTGAAATCGAGAATCGCTAAATTTGGGCTTATTCAGGTCTAAAATAGAGTGGAAAGAGTATATTGGGCCTTAAATTTAAGATCCAAATCTGTAAAATGTTGCATTTCAAACTATAGAGCATTGGGCATCTCCACCGTCACCTACGCGAATAAGATATTTTTGTTACAAATTACTTGAGTTTGCATTTACAATTCTCCGATTTTATTCTGCTATTGTTGATTCAAGTTCCATGTATTGAGTAAATTTAATTTAATTATTTTAATGCTTGATTCAAATATTTTTATTTTTAATTATTATTAAAAAATTTCAATTTATACTCAAATTCAATAGTTTGTATTTGAAGGATTAGAATTAATAACGAAAACAATACCCTATGCTAGTGTACCTTGTTATCAATTGAGATTCGGTAAGGAATCTAAAATTTGATAAGATATGTTTGATAAGTACAAGAAAATTATGATGTGAAAATATTTGCTTGATGATGCTTTTTGTATGACCTAGAACTTATACGTAGAAATCTATAAGAATAAGTTAGTTGGGTGTACGTTTTTTTATGTATGTTAGATTCAGGTCTCACTCGAGATACTTGAAAATAGTAGGCCAGTGGATATACGTTCCTGGTGCAATAGTAAGCCAACAAGATTATTAATATCTTCTCAAAAGATACGTTTGATAAGATATGTAATGTGGTTGCTTTTAGATTTTAGAGTCTCCTTTTATTCTTTTGATGTGGAATTAATATCTTTCAACTCTTCAATGTATGATATTATCTCACATTCAATATCTTAATGCTTTCATCATGATTGTCCAATCTACCTGCCTCACTAATAGAGCGTTGGATGCTCGACGTGAAATTAGATCGTCAGAATGTTATTATTATGCTACTTATCATGAGACTACTATCCTTTTTCCTTTCAGACATGAGATTAATGTTGCACACCCATGTGACATATAACCACTTGTATTTGACTTATTGTTGTACTAATTTAGAACAGATATTGTAGAGATTCATTATGATGACGACCTTTTCAATCCAATTTTTTATATTTATAAAATCAAAATTTTAACTCCCAATACTACTTGAGGAATCTAATGTCATATCATACTAGATTAATCAATTGTTCATAAAGCTAATAATAAATTAAATAGGCATAAAATTCAATTGTAATTTATATAAATTAAAATGTTCATCTAATGAATCGACAATTAAATCAAACTCATTTAAAGTGATAAACAATCCGAAATCTATTTATAATTCAAAACAGATTTTAAATTCGCTCGATTTCGTATTCTTGCCCTGATTAGTGTTAAAAGTCAGGCCATTTCGGTGCAATTAATGCACCGAATGGCAAATGTAAAAAAGGGTGGCTTTGTGTTGAAAATTAGCAATGGTAGAAATGCACATATAGTCATTGTAATTTAGGGTATTTACAAATTAGTCCTTAAGCTTCAACTATAAATACCCTAGCTCATTTAGCTTCAAAACCATCCCAAAGCATTCTAACTTTCTTCCAATACTAGAGAGGTTGAAATTCATATTTTCTCATAGTGAAATTCTTATACCGTTGCCCGTGGTTTTTATCTTATATTATTTAGGGGGTTTCTATATAAATTTTATGTCTTTTTTATCTTTATTTTTATTTTCTCAAATTATCAGTTGCGATTTTGCTCTATCCGATAGTCGTCTTCCGCAACAATTGGTATCTGAGCCAGATTTGAGTGTGTAATATCTGCTTATTGTCTTTTTGGTTGCCACCAAAAGGTGGATCCTCCAACATAAGAAAGTAAGAAGGTATTACCCATTCTTTGAAGGTTCCAGAGAACTATTCACAATAGTGAAATAGTGGGAGCTATCTGTAATAGAAGCTATGGCAACGAAATTTGATATTGAAAAATTCAATGGGAGAAATTTCTCATTGTGGAAATTGAAGATGAAGGTCATCCTGAGGAAAGACAGTTGTCTAGCAGCTATTAGTGAAAGGCCGGTGGATTTCACAGATGACAACAAATGGATCGAAATGGACGGGAATGCTATGGCAAACGAAATTTGATATTGAAAAATTCAATGGGAGAAATTTCTCATTATGGAAATTGAAGATGAAGGTCATCCTGAGGAAAGACAGTTGTCTAGCAGCTATTAGTGAAAGGCCGGTGAATTTCACAGATGACAACAAATGGATCGAAATGGACGGGAATGCTATGGCAAACTTTCATCTAGCATTAGTAGATGAAGTATTGTCAAGCATCGAGGAAAAGAAGACAACCAAGGAGATATGGGATCATCTCACCAAACTGTACGAGGCCACATCGCTGCACAATAAAATTTTCCTTAAGAGAAAATTGTACACTCTCCGTATGCCATAATATACTTCAGTGACGGAGCACTTAAACACATTGAACACGTTATTTTCTCAGTTTACATCCTTAAGATGTACAATAGGAGAACAAGAACGTGCTGAACTTCTACTTCAAAGTCTACCTGATTCGTATGATCAACTCATCATCAACTTGACAAACAGTAATGTCACCAGTCTAGTCTTCGATGACGTTGCAACTACTATTCTACAAGAAGAAAATCGGCGCAATAACAAGGAAGACAGACAAGTAAATCTGCAACAAGCAGAAGAATTGACAACGATGAGAGGGAGATCAACAGAACGTGGCCAAAGCAGCAGTCACAAACATGGTAGATCAAAGTCGAGGAGCAAGAAGAATTTAAAGTGTTACAACTGTGGAAAGAATGATCACTTGAAGAATGATTATTGGAGTCTAAATAAAAAGTCCAATCCACAAGGCAATACTGCAAACACTTCAGATGATGGAGATGCTCTATACTGTGAAATGTCAACCACCGTGGAATGTAGAAAAAGATTTGCAGATATATGGCTCATTGATTCAGGGGTAACATATCACAAGACCTCAAGAAGAGAATGGTTCCATAATTATGAACCTGTCTCAGGAGGATCTGTGTATAGTTGCAATGATCATGCCTTAGAGATCATTGGCGTGGGAACCATCAAATTGAAGATGTATGATGGAACAATTAAAGTTGTTCGAGATGTGCGGCACGTGAAAGGCCTGAAGAAAAATTTATTATCCTACGGATTATTGGATAATAATGCAAGCAAGATTGAAACACAAAAAGGAATCATGAAGGTGTTCCGTGGAGCGCTTGTGGTGCCGAAAGGCGAAAAGATAGTTGCAAACTTGTAAATGCTGAAAGGAGAGACTTTGCTAGAA